TAAAACTTACAGTACTTTATTGAACACACTTTACACTGATAATATTAATAATAATCCTTGCATGAATGTAATTTCACATGTATATATATAGTATTCCATCATTCAGAAAGACACGTCCTCACACTGCTACAACTCAGCTCAACTGTCTCGTAACTCAGCTCTCACTCTACTGTTTTTTACTGCTCTGCGCTCAGCCCTGACTATCTCAGTCAACTCATACTTTATTACCAGCAAAGCGTGCAAAACAACCGCTCTGACAAAAACATAATTTTACTCTCCAAAAACGTGGAGCTCACATTGTCCTCTCACAATACAATTCACTCTCTCTCTCTTGTGGAAAAACAGTGTCAACACAATTCACTGTTCACTCATGCTACCTCTCTGTTTTCTTGTGAAAACATTGTCCGTTACATGTACCAACCAGACAACTCCGCTCATCCGACAGTGACAAACTCTTTACACCACGTGTTCGCCTTGAGACTTGCGGAAAGCGCACTTTCGCGTTTGCTGGTCCAACAATTTGGAACGCCCTTCCACTCGATCTCAGAAACATCCAGACACTGGAGTCATTTAAAACCGATTTAAAGACACATCTATTTCGCAAACACTTTCTGGGATGATTTTCTACCATATTTTCCATTTAATGCATATTAGATGTGTTGCTCACGGTTGAAATGGGTTGAAAGACTTTGACAATGTATGCTTGTAATTAGTTTTTGTAGTATTGCGTTTGTTTTAAATGTGGTAAATTATAGATTTATTTTTTGTTGACTTTGCACTGCGCTTTGAGCCTTTGGGGATGAAGCGTGTTTTTGAAATGAACTTTATTATTATTATTATTATTATTATATGCAGTAGATAAGTGAAAATGAAATTTAACTTCAGTGGTGAGATAATAAACAGCCTCTCTTATTTAAAATTATATCTCCGCAAAAAGAGTTTCTTCAGTGAAATATATAACCAAAACAGATGGTATTATTTTAGGCAATTATTGGTAAGACAACCAAATATTATATTGAATATAATTCAATTCATTCATCAATGTGTGTGTTTTTGACCACAGTTGATAAATGAATGCAACCCAAACACTAAAGCTAAGAAGGATGACAAAACAGTAGGCCTACTGTTTTTTTTCCTTTCATTTTGATGATATTACCTGATATAATCTCTTTCAGGAGTGAAAAAAAGAAAATCATGACTGTAAAATTCTTGTGTATTAATAATTTTCAACAGGTAAAATAATAATAATGTGTAGTCTAGGCATAATTCTTGTGGTGGGGTGGCGATTTTATTTTTTATATAATACTTCCCCCTTTGCCTTTGCCTTTGACAAAAAATATTTTATATTTTGTTCAAATTCAAAGATCAAATTGTCAAATGCTCATAAGTATTCTGATTTCTTCGCATGACATACAAAACTGATTAACTGCTTTTCTTTCTGAATTAAAAAAAAATTTTATGAAAAAATTCCTGATACTTTTTTTTCTTCTTTGCATCTGATCACCAAAACAGTTTCTTATATCACTTTCTCACAATCCTCTATGAGTCATTTTTTGAACTTATTTAAGGACAATGAAAAACATTTATAATTTATAGACAGAAGCCTCCTCATACATTTGCCAACAAATTTATATAGGTAATTAATTGGGCTACATACTACATCATAAACTTACTACTTTATTAATAAGTGCAACATCTAAAGTTAACGTAAATGACTCTTTCTTACTCTTGCGCTTATTATGAAAAACTCAAGATTCAGATTCAGGGTGTTTATTTTCTGCACGGCTGCGAGGAAATGAGGTTACCATGAAAATGAAAGTATGAAGAGATGGTCTAAAATGGTTTTTGCCGTTTTCCAACACAATTACAATACTATTCAAATAATTTTTTTCATACGCTTACCTACCGGACCGCAACTTACCGCCTTAGTGTGGTCCACATCGAGACCTGCACAGGGCACAGAGCCGCTGATATTATTTTACATTTATTATGTAGGCTATTCACTTACCTGTTTAAAGTAATGTTGTGTGTAGAAAATGATAATATAAGCTCCTGCTTAGGTCTTAACAACCCCTTTGTTTGACTGAGTAACTGCTGTAACCAATCAGCCAGAAGCGAAATACACCGTCAAGCATAACTTGAAACTCCGACATCCACCACCTTCGATGTCTAAGTACTGACTGACCACTAAAACTAAGAAGCTAAAGGGGAACAGGAAGTTCCCTAAACAACCGGGCCAAGTGAAATAAAATTGTTTTTACAAGTTGTCAACTAATTTGAAAATAAAATTGATCAAGTTTAGAGCTACATGTATTATAATGACTATGAAATTTTCTAAATTACGTTAGTTTTAAGTATGACATACTCAGTAGGAGTGCAGAGGGGTAGCTCCAATGTTTGACGCACATAGACAAGATTCATTTTTACCGCTTACTTTTTAAAGTCTGAAACCCATAATTTTCATCTATAAAATACCACCTAATCCCATTCTGGTGCCCTAACCAGTCTAGCGCAGCGTTTCCCAAACTTTTAAGTTTCATGGACCTGTGGACAAGTTTCAAAACTGCACCAGGGACCGGTGCATGGGCGCCCGCAGGTAGGGGCAAGGTGGGGCACTTGCCCCCCCCCCCCCCCGATTGATT